GCTTAATGTCCCAAATGAAACCTCGAGCCGAAAAATATCTTGGGATGCCATCGGATGTGGGCTCTTCAAAAACGGTGCTTTCAAATATCTCAAAGGCCTTTTATGGAGCAAGGTTCAAGGTTGGGTAGAAAAAACCATGGCAATGGCAAGGAAAGAGGTACTTGTCAAAGCGGTTGCTCGGGCGGTTCCGGTCTATTCCATGTCATATTCCAAACTCCCTAGAGGTTTGTGCGAACACCTAAATATGCTGATCTGAAAATTCTGGTGGGGCAATAGAGATGGCAGGAGGAAACCTGCATGGGTGGCATGGAAGGATATGACACAACCAAAGGATATGGGAGACCGGGGTTTTAAGGATTTTGAGCTCTTTAACTTAGCCTTGTTGGCTAGGCAGGCGCGACAGATACTTCAGTCCTAGAATCTCTCAGTGCTCGTGTCCATAAGGGTGTCTACTTCCCCACTACATCAATACCTGAGGCGGCAGTTGACAGTCATCCAAGCCAAATATGGAGGGAGATCGTCGAAGGAAGGGATATACTTAGGCAAGGCTTGATACGTAGAATTGGTGACGGCTCAACCATCAACATATTGAATGACAACTGGTTGCATATGGACGAGATGATGAGACCGTACGGTTCTTTGGTGAATAACCCTTCTCAAAATGTTTTACAATTAATTGACTCCATCACTGCCAGTTGGGACATGCATCGCATTCAACAGGTAATGCTTGCCATTACTCCAACCATCACAAGCATACCACTCTGTACCAGAGTTATCTCAGATTTTTGGTCATGGAACTATGAGAAAAATGGTCTCTTTTTGGTCCGGTCAGCTTACAAGATGCTGGTTTATACTAAGCAACGTCGCGAGGCTTGGCTCGAAGGTAGAGCCGGTATAGCACGGGAGAGGAGCTCATGGGGTGTCCAAGTACCAGGGAAAATAAGAATATGTTTCTTTGGAGACTCGCTAGGCATTCGGTGCCAACTGAGGATGTCAGAGAACCCAGGAACATGTCCACGACAAGCTCATGCGGACTATGTGGCGCTCCTGACTCATGGAGGCACTCACTCCTGGACTGTACCATGTCTCGTTGCATTTGGGCTCTAGTGGACCGTGAACTTGCAGAACAGCTGAGGGCATCAACAGAACCAACATCAAAATCATGGCTATTCTCGATGATCCAAGCATTATCACATGACGCTTTCCTCAAGCTGGTGGTTACTCTGTGGGCAGTCAGGACATCTCGAAAGAATGCTATACATAAAGGTGACTTTGAGAGCCCTCGGGCTACCCATGCATTCATCAACAGATACTTGATGGATTTGGAGATCATCAAGAATTCGCAAGCAACAAGGCAAGTCGCTGTCTCAAATCAGCAACTTTTGAGCGGAAGTGTACGGCCTAGGGCCTCGCTGACGGGTTTTGCAAAAATCCATGTGGATGCAGGAGTGTTAAAATACCACATAAGAGGCTCGGCTGCGGCCGTTTGCCGGGATGAGAATGGCACATATTTGGGAAGCTCTTCTCTGTTGATTTCTCGAGTTCATGATGCAGCTATTCTGGAGTCAATTGTTTGTCGAGAAGCATATGCTCTGGTAGAAGATCTAGCTCTCCGTAATTTTAGTTGATGACATAAACCGGAATGTAGAGGTATATATGGCTCACTGAAGTTAGGGCCAGAGACGAGAGTTTTAACAATAAAATCATGCATGAAGGTCGTCGGTTTAATAATGATGCTCATAACTTAGCAAAGTTTTCCCACGATCCTTCTTGTATCCCACAAATTGTGGTATTTGATGAATAAAAGTTATTTTCATCCCTAAAAAAACCGCAAAGCTTCACCTCCCATCAAAAGAAAAAGATTTACCTTCACCGGTCTCTCTCGCGCCAACCGGCGGCGCTCGTCTCCCTCGCCGCCGTAAGCACGGTGGCGAAGCCGAACCCAAGCGAGGTGGCCAAGTAGTCGGTGAGATGCTGCTAGTAGAGCTGCTCCGCTGCCAGATCCAGGAGTGGTACCCGGCATTCCGCCGCCACACCGTCCCCACCGTCACCATCCCCCTCCCCGCCGCCTTCCTCCGCTACCTCGCCGGCCAGCCCGCCCACCCCGTCCCCGACGCCCCTCACCAGGACGCGGAAGGGCCTCCCCCATTCCTCCTCCCGTCGCTCGCCTCCGGCCGCACCCCCTTCCCGCCGCTCCACCTCCCGGACCCCGTCGACCACGACGACAGCTCCGACCTCTTCTCCGTCTGCGACGACGACGACGACGACGAGAGCCCGCCCCTCCCCGCCTTCCCCGAGCTGGAGGCCGCGGTCGACGCGGCCATCGCCGAGCTCGGCGGCGCCGCGCTCCCCAAGCTCAACTGGAGCGCGCCCAAGGACGCCGCCTTCATGTCCGCCGACGGCACCGTCCGCTGCACCTGCTTCGCCGAGGTCGCCATGCTGCTCCGCTCCTCGGACTGCGTCGCGCACGACCTCTCCTCCGCGCGCCCGTCCTGCCAGGACTTCGTGTGCGCCAGGGAAGGTGTTCGACGGAATGCCGGACAGGGCAGTGGTGCCAACCAGGCGGGTGCTCCATCGAATGGCGGAGGGAGCACCAGTGGTGCTGGTTCTCTGAGTGATCCTCCCACTGAGGATCGCAATGAGGGAGGCAGGCAAGCTGCTGCCGACAGTGATGCTTCGGAAGACGATGTTGGACAAGAAAGCGGCGATGATAGTTGGGTGGACAATGGGTTCCAGTACTACCTCGCCCTCCGCAAGTGGTACCCGGGCCTGCGCCCCGAGGCAGAGTTCCGATGCTTCGTGCGGGGACGGAAGCTGGTCGGCGTGTCGCAGAGGGACACATCTGCTTACTACCAATCGTTGCCTGGGTGGAGTTCTGAGGTGCAGCCGAAGATCGAGGAGTTCTTCGAAGAAGTTGTTGAGTCGCAGTTTGCTTCTCAGAATTACACATTTGATGTGTATGTCAGAGCAGATGGCCGGGTGAAGCTGATTGATTTCAATCCTTGGGGTGGCTATACATTGCCGCTTATGTTTACATGGGAGGAGCTTGAGGATGAGAAGAGAGGAGAGGACAAGCTGGAGTTTAGAGTGGTAATGGAGCAAGGTGCAGTGAGGCCAGGATTAATGACAGCAGTGCCGTATGATATGATGGATTGGGGAGAAGGGAACGGCTGGGATGTTTTTCTGAAGAAGGCTGACAATGAACTGAATAGACAGATGGCCTCATTAGCTATGGATTCGTAATTGACATCTGGAACAAAGCAGCGCTTGAGGACTCCAGTAGTTGAACAACTTCAACCGTCGCCTGTTTGTAATGTTTCACCTGTCAAACGCTAGAAGTAACAGCCTTCTTTAGATTGTGATGCAAACCTCACGGCAATCGGCCGTTTCCCCCCATGACTTTTGCAATGCTAGATTGCTAGTATGGGAGTACCGCATGCTGCTTCATCTCAGTTTTATGATATTTACAGAAAAATATTTGTAGTGGAAGTATATGGCCCATGGCTGAAATTGCAAACTCTGAAACATGAATACACATTCCATATACCTTTGCTGTTTCATACGTGCCAGCTTGCATCCACTTATTTATTATGGCATTTCAATTCAGAGTTGTGGCAATCATCTGTAGCATATTTCTTGGTCCAAAAAGTCTTAGCGTAAATTCTTCCCCAGATAAAGTTCAACCTGCAATGGTCCAGTTTGGGATCCTGTATTCTTAATACAGATTCATTTTCAGCCCGGCTAGGTTTTGGCCCATTTGACTGGATTTAATGCTGGTATTCACCACACGGCTGCCATGTCAACCAGTTAGGGCCCATGGGTCATTCATTCTCTCTCCAAATATCACCCAAGTCCAGTTGCTGACGACACTCATGTCGGGTGAGTACGGTGCCAAACAGCATTTATACTAGTTTGCTTGATACCCCAGCCAAAAATGTTATGTCAAATAATACATGGGTTATAGTCCAGGGTCCTGACACATATAGTCGAATACATTATTATGCAAGTAGATACCCAAGTTTGTTCCTATCAACTTTGAAATCTTCTAGGTGTTCAATAGTTCAGTTTGTCCCAATGGAAGTGTCTGCTTCTTTGGAAGGTTTGTACCTAGCGAAGAGAATATTTTACTTTTTTCTAATGTTAAACTAAACTCCATTCATTCCTGAAACAAGCTGGTGTACTAGTCAGTTAAAGATCTAGTAACTTAGTTGTAGGCTTGCCTTGTGTTATTCAGTGCTTGTGATCCACTAAGCTTATCCTGTAAGGTGCTCTACTTGCTGATAGCTTATAGATAAGCCTGATGCTATTTGAGGAACCGAACGAACAAGTCATGTGTTCCTGCCTAATTGAGGCCCTTTACTTGCTTTGACCGGGGTGTTCTGTTTTAATGTTAAGCCCGAATAAGCTAGATGTTTGGTTCAGAGTCCTGGCATAACTGCTTAAGGTTACTTAACTGACAGGCCAAAGCTTAAAATGGGCCAAACAGGCCCCATTATAATGTTGTGGCAGTAGGCATGTCATGTAGGCAACCTGAAGCTTACTAGTTGTATTGTCTAGTCTTTGTTTTCCAATCTTTTGGTGGTATCGTGTTTTCTATATTTCTCTTTTGAAATGAACTACGATGGTTATTTTGGTACAGTTATTGCTGAGGGTGCAATGTACTTTTGTGCGCCAATTTAACTAGAAATGCTATCTTGGAGATGGGAGCCGCTTGCTCAGCTTCTCAACAACGCCTGAATCTTGATTCACTCACTTGTCACCGACTTGCATAATGTTTTGAGTTTTCTATCCCACGACTGAAGAGTTTCAGAGTTCGTTCATAGGATATGATGAGCTGTGACCTGCAGTCCATGGCGGGTGACTGCATGCAGTAGCAGGCTTATATGAGCACCTGGGTTGCGTTGCGTGGCAAGGTAGAGCTAATACTGCCTAGCAATTATTCATCACGAGCATATTGCTACTGAATCATAAGCCTTGAGCAAGTTCTGTTTTCTAGTGCTGGCTTGAAGCTGGACCAGAGGGGTACATAGCAACTGATTCAGAGACGTGGTTTGAGGTTTCACGAGGTAAGACTTCTTGTCTATAGAATTAACCTCAGTTGCATATTCTACCGTCAGTAGAGTAGTATAGTCTTGACAAATTGCTTAGCCACCAGCTGCTTTCAGCAGAAGGGATCCTATCGTGATTATTTATTTGTCAAAGATAGGAAGATCTTTCTCTTCGAATGTATTTTTACAGCCTGCAAATTAATCTTGCAGTTTCATCCAACTCACCGCTCTGAAGATAACTACGTCACTATAGCAATTTGACTGAGTAGCCATGTCCAGCAACCATTTGCTAGCTAAGCCCATCTGGTAAACCATGAAGCTCCGCTGAACTTAGTTCTGAAAGCAATTTTTCTTTTTTTTCTCGCAAGGTCCATTGACAGATGGAGCACAAGGGCCTAGAATGAAAGGCAAAAGGCGAGAAATGACCCTAGGCTACAGTAGAGACTGGCATTGGCTTTTCCTTCTTAGGTGCATTGCTGATGAACACTGCTTAAATACCTAGCGTCCAAATCAACCTGCAGACGGTAATTCAGTGAGCTTAATGGCTATTTAACTGTGACAGTTATTTAAGCCGTGGGCGTCTGATTCCACTCAGTCGCCTCTTTCCAATTGAACCGTTTCTTGACTGAATCGACATCTCCAGTGTCACTCTTCAGGTCAGGTAGGTATTCAGAGGACTAGGATCCTGACATGTACCTCGTTAAGGAGCTCGCCTCAGATGGTGACCATGTCTCTGCTCCCTTCTTTACCAGCTGGCGCACCCACTACCCAGGTCAGCACATGCCGGCAAGGCGGCAATCAACGTTGTCAGGTTCATATCTTCTGTCAGTTTAAGCGGACATGCATGCAAGTACCGTTATATGTCAGACCAATTGTTGTTGCTGAGCAATACCTCCTGTATGTTTAGGGATTTTTTTATTGTTGTTTTACCTCATGCTTCAAAGCTGCTTGACTGGCTTTTCGAAGAGATCACCTGCAGAATACCCCTTAACAGAGTGGTTCCAAGTATTCTCAAAACAAAAAAAAACAGAGTGGTTCCAAGTAACCCGGCACTGCAAGTCTGCAGGCAAATTTCTGAGCCATTTTCATTGAGTAAAAAACTATTAGCAGTGCCATGAAGGTTTCCCGTGAACAAAAATAAAAAGAACTGAAGAACGACCACTATAAGTGCTCTCATTGTTGCTCAGTACAGCGCCATGAAGGCTGTTTCTTTTTTTTAATCTCAAAGCTTATCCTGTAAAGGTGATCTACTGGCTGATAGCTTATAGATAAGCCTGAAGCTATTTGAGCAACCAAACTAACAAGTCATGATCTCCTGCTTAATAGAGGTCCTTTACTTGCTTTGGCTCTATCATGGCAGGTGTTCTGTTTAATGTTAAGCCCGAATAAGCTACTGTACATGTTTGATTCAGAGTCCTGACTTAACTGCTTAAGGTTACTTAATTGATAGGCCAAAGCTTAAAATGGGCCAAACAGGCCCCCTTTAATCTAGTGGCAGTAGGCATGTCATGTAGGCAACACAAAGCTTACTAGTTATTTTGGTTTCCAAATTTCTGGTTATGTCGTGTGTTATAAATTTATCTTGTAAATGAAGTATGATGGTTATTTTAGTGCGGTTGTTGCTGAGGATGCAATGGAAAATGCTATCTTAAAGCTGGGAGACTCACTTGCTCAGCTTCTCAGCAACGCCAGAATCCTGATTCACTCACTATCACCAACTTGCGTAATGCACTGAATTTTCTGTCCATAGTTGAAGAGCTTCAGAGTTTGTTCGTACGATATGGTGAGCTATAACCTGCAGTCGAGGACAGTTGAATGCATGGGCTGCGTGACAAGGTAGAGCTAATGGTGCCTAGCAATTATTCATCACGAGCATATTTGTACCAAATCATGTCAGTCTTGAACAAGTTTTGTTTTTGCAGTGCAGGCTTGAAGCTGAACCAGAGGGGGTACATAGCAACAGCTTTAGGGGCATGGTTTGATGGTTTCACAGAGGTAAGACTTCTTGTCTATAGAATTAACCTCAGTCGCATATCCTACCGTTAGTAGAAAAAGTATAGCCTTGACATCATTGGAAGCTGCCATTACTCGTCAGTAAGTACCGACTAAGCTGGCCACTAGGGACGCGATGGTGGGTGGGTACGCGTGTCGAGGCCAGCCAGTAGCAGCTAGCCTTGGTATCATAATCTGTAGGCTGTAGCTGTGGCAGTTTGCCCTGGTGCTTGCGATGATTCTAAAACCCTGCCATCCTGCCATGCAACACATCTCCTTATCTTGATCCAGTTCTCGAGTTGTCACTCAACTTGCTACAAAATCTGTACTTTCCCTTTGCGAGCGAAGGAATACGAACTCCTGTTTTGCACCCTATCTGCGTTGTTAGCCCAAAGCCTGCCGTATGAACTACTACTATTGGGCAGTTGAAGAAAATGCGGCCAGTATTCTCCAACTAACCGTCCAACGTCATGCAGCAGGCAGGTGCAGGTGATCTGTACGTCCTGGTCATCTTTGGCCAGGAGCTGCTCTCAGCAGAAGGGATCCTCCTATGGTGTATGATTTGACAGAGATAGGAATATCTTTCTCTTCATAGGTATTTTCACAGCCTGCAAATTAACCTTCCAGTTTCGTCCAACTCAATCCTCTGAAGGTAATACTAAGTCAGTAGAGCGATTTGGCTGAGCAGACATGTCCAGCAACCATTTAGTTAGCTTCAAGCTGCACTGAATCTCAATTCTTAAATCAATCTTTTTATTTTACCGATGGTTCATTGACGGGAGGGAGCATGAGGGTCTGGAATTAAAGCCAAAAGGCGAGAGACGACCCTTAGGCTACCGTAGCAACTAGCATTGGCTTTTCCTTCTTACATCCGTGTCTGATGAACAATGCTTACCTAGCGTCCAAATTAACTTACAGACGGTAATTCAGCAAGCTGTTTGGATTGGATGTAAATTTTTGTGTAATGACCGGTATTCAGTTCAAACTTGAGCTAAATACCGGGGAGCACACTAATTTTACACCCAATCCAAGCGGGGCCCAACAACTAGTATAATTTGCCCTCAGTCTAGCGAATTCAAACTACAAACCCTCACGAATCAGATCATTAATCAGGCAAGGCAGGGAATCTCTATTTGGAAAATCCTTTTACAGTAATATTTGGTGAGAAGCCGCACAACAAGCAGCAACAGGTACTACGGGGCTACGAAAACATTGGTTGTGGAACCAACAAACAGGATAGAATTCAGAAGAATTTATCAGGAACAGGGATTCCCCAAAGAAAAAAAAAACATCTTAACAACAGAAGACATGTAGGAGTATTAATCAATCATGGTGTAAACTGAGATTGCACTTTCATGTATCACAGGGCTTGTTCAACGTAATTACACCCACGACGGCGATAAGCTTGACAACAACTAGTACTTGAAACTTATTTGTGTTTGCTGGCACATATGGCTGCACCACCAGGATAACAATAGCGATTGCGGTTTTGTGGCCTGGGATCAAGCAGATGCGGCGGCAGCCTCCTCCAGCAGCTGCTTCACCTTGGTGATGTAGTCAGCCATGGCCTCCTCCTTGGATTTGGCTGCAAATCGAGTTCCGCCAGAATTTGCACAAACGTAAGTTTGGTGGTGTTCGCTCAAGAACGACGGTAAAGGTGGTTTTCATGGATTTGAAAAAGTGATCAAGAACTTGTAGAGTTTACCTTCGACGGCCTTCCAAGCATCCCACTTGGCCTTGCCAGCCATATCAAAGAGGCCGCCGGGGCGGGCTGCGAGATGAGAACAGAGCGGTTAATTGGGCTGAGCGCGACGAATCAACGGTAAGATTCTAATGCAAAATGCCATGTACTTGTGTGTGTGTTTGAAAAGAAAAATCAACGATAAAAAAAATCCTGCACTAGTTAGTAAAAGTATGTAGCATTGTTGATTAATCGGAGGACAAGCAGTGTCACATGCTGTGTTCCCTATGTAGATCCACAGGGAGGTATCAATCATGCATGCACATCTGGATCTGGGCACATGGCCTGGTGACCACATTTTTGTTTTGAAATGAAGGGGTGACCACCTGGGTTTGGTTGGACTAGTTAAAGCCCTAAGATGGGGGCTGTGTATTCTCCTTTTCCATCGAATTGTCCCTTCTAAGCGTATACACATAGGCACGATCAATCAAACAGAGTCACTCTTGAGAGATGATAAGCAGCAGCATGGCAAACCAGTTATACAGTCAGTCCTCTGCTTATGCAGCACACACACGCGCGAAACTTCAAGTATTTCAACAGTAAACCAGGCCTGATAATTTACTTGTTACTAATAAGACTAGTAATAAGAAGATGGAGAGATGTAATACCGGTGTTGACGGGGCCGACGGTGGCCTGCTTGTAGAGGCCGTAGAGGCAGAGCTTGCTCTCGTTGGTGGTGGTGTCGGGCAGCGTCTTGGCCTTCTCCGCGTGCTCCTCAAACTCCTCCTGAACAACATCAACAGGCAAGCGCGGCATATAAGTAACTGACAGTGGCCGCTGCTAATTTGGCTCGCCGGCCAGTTCACCGGTAATTTCGGGGCAGAAAGGCGGTAACAAATCCTGAAACTGCAGGGTAAACCGAGTTTCGCAAGCACATGTATAGCTGTTTACTAGTACCGGTGTGAATCTGAACCCAAAAGTTGAGCAGATTCAGACATTAACAAATCCCTGAAGTTGCAGGTCAATCAGATCTCGTCAACATATTCACGGAACTAACTAATCATTCAGCTCGATGCATACCGGAGTGATAAATTAGCCTGAAAACAACGACGGTGATCTTCAAAACATCTGAAGGGGGCGATTCAGACAGCAAAGCTGGGCTGGAATTGTGCAGTGCAGGGCCATACAGATACAACCTACTGAACCACACACGCCAGCAATCAAACGGCCGGCACGGGATATTCGCTCCTAAATTCTACAGCGGCGGCGGCGGCTCGCGGGTAGATCCATGGGATATAGCAGCAGCAATCGGACTAGGAAGCTGGAACCCAGGATCGTGCGCGTCGGACGGGGCACCGGCACGGCGACGGCGGGATTCGCCGGAGCCGGAATCTAAACGGGGCTCCGGCCAAGGCATGGATCGCGGCAGAACACGAGATGGATCGAGAGGGGGAGGGGGTTGCTTGGGTGCTTACCTTGAGACCCATGTCGATCGGCTGCTCTCCTCGGCGATAGGAGCGATCGATGCGATGCGATGCGAGGCGAGAGGTATCGACGAGCGGTACAAGGGCGCTCGCAGCTCGCTAGATTATATGGGCGGGGCGGGGAGGTTCGTTCGTTCCTGCAGGGGACTCGTGCTCGCCCGCGATACGTGTCGGGGCCGATCTCGGCCGTCCGATCAACTTCTAACTTGTCGATCACAACATAGTTGAACCCTTTTCTTTTCTTGTGGCCAACGAACTAGTTTTTTTTTTTTTTTTTGAGGGTGGCCAACGAACTACTAGTACGTGGGTGAGGGGTATATTCGTTCGGCGTGGCTCTCTCGGTTTCTGCTTACCACGTTTTTCTCTTTCTTATTACCGGCGGTCTTTTTCATTTTATCTACACCGCAATACTCAAATCCGCCCCCCACACGCAGCGCGGACACTGACAGTGACAGACAACACACACAAAACTTGACTCCACAATCACAAACACTATTTCCAACTCACCAAATCCATATATTATTACATGCAACGTAAAACCTAATCTAAACATAGCTCGGCCGACGGCGCCACTCAAAATCTTGGTCCGGTCGTCAGCGAGGTAGAGTAGGACACGGACCGGCTCACGGGACTCAAGGTGCTGCCGTGTCCCATGTCCTACTATTCCTCATCAGAGTTCGTAACTTTCACAGTGTCGGTGGACGTGAGATCGACGATGGATCTGTCTTGGGAGGAGCCGACAACGTCCACCACACGACGCGGTTTGTGGCGCCTGAGGTGGGCGTGCACCACACGGGGGCGCCTCGAGAATGCGACTCCGCCTCTCCAACGCCCGCCGTCCCGAGGGCTGCCGCCACCTCCCACGCTCGCTGTCTCGCACGACGGGTACATGGCGTGCCATATTTGCCTCGACGGACCCTACGCGCCCACCTCCGCCTCGCACGCGCCAACAAAGCGGCTGCGAATTCGCCGGCGTGCTCGGACGCCTGACGGCCCGCACTGCCTCCGATGAGGCAACTGCGACACACCTCGTGTCAGATCCATGCGTCATTGGCCGGGCCCAATGGATTCCTGATGGAAAGAATCTGAGCATTGCTATCGAGCGGCCTTCTCTCGAGAGCAGCGGAGCACAAGGCAAACGGTCATCTCCTCCTCGGGGCCGCGTGGGAGGAGCTCGGGTGTATGACTCGGATCCGTTGCCCGCCAAGTCGGAGAGGGTAGGAGATCACTAGAGGGAGTTTGTGGGCAGAGGGAGTGGTATGGAGGGGAATGGAGTGGAGTGGAATGCGGCTAGGGTTTCGACCTGAGGTGCGGAGAGGGTCCATTTTCTGTGGGGTCGGGTGGGCCGGATCCGACGTGGCGGACGTGTTCGGGCGCGTCCGGGTGTCCCCATATCCAGTGGCGGAGCTACGGCTGGGCAAAACCAGGCCATGGCCCGCCCAGTCCAACTAGATTTTTGTGAAGAGTAGTACTGAATCTGGGTCATAAGAGTAAAATTTTAATAATACTTCTGAACATTTTCAATGATATTTCCGAACCTAATCTGTTTGGCCCGCCCAGAGAAATGACTGTAGCTCCGCCACTGCCCATATCCACCCCAGATTTGGGCCGGATATGGAGAGTGTCGGTCAATCTGAGCGTTTGGGCCGGCTATAGCGAGACCGGTTGGATGGCGTTTTTGCGTCTGGACACTGATCGGGCAATCCGTCCGGACGTTTGGAACGGATATGGGGTCCGGTTATAGACGCTCTAACAGATTTGCAGCACACCTATTTTTGAGACCTTATTAGTCAGAGATGACGGTGAAGTGTGAACGCTAATTTGTCGAAAAAAAATTCGGGTAATTCGTCAAAATTATTGTGATGCCTGTGCGATTTGTTTTTTCCTTGAGAGTAGTGCGAATTGTTTTCGTACAGTAAACAATAATTATTCCACAAAAAATACTTGTCATTGAAAACGCAAAAGAATCTCGC